CGAGGGGAACCTGCTCACCCCCCGGCCACCCACCACAAAGTGACAGTTCCATGAAAGGCCATCCTGGCTACGCAGACAGTCTGTGAAAGACCCAGTGCAGGTAGTCGCACGGCACCTACTGCCCATCCTTTCTCACCACTAGTGCGTACACACGGAGGATTTGGAGCCCAAAACCTAGTATTGTCCAATTTTCTCAACCACCATACGGGAACTTTTGCGCTTTCTCTCTATTGTGGGCGTTGGCTTTAGCTTACCTTGAAGAAGGCTTAAAGCCTGGGCTAAAACCACGGTTTTGGTTTATTTGTTTGATTACTTAAAGCTGCTTCTAAGTCGGCTCTATACAGCCCTAAATACAGCTAAAGCTACCGCCACGTTTGTCGATGCTCTGAACTTTCCCTCAAACTTGGTGATTTAGATCATTGTTTTTTTTTTATTTATAAAAAAAGATAGTTGAAATCTTTCAAAAGCACACAATAGATAAATTCCGACTTAACTCATAAATCTGACGACTTGCAATCGTATCTGATCACATCATGATTTAAAGCCAATTAGTCTATTAGATACGCATGATATAAAAAAATAGAAAGGTGATCAATGGTTACCCACCTCTCCGTAGGGCTCGTCCTGTTCGAGGACTCGTACTAGATCTTTGGTGGCAAGCGAAAGTACTTTATGAAAAGCTTGCGCTGCTACTGGTCCACTGGTGGCGATGACAGGGGCCAAATCGCTGACTGGTTCAATGACCAAATAGGGATATGTGTTTTCAGATGATTGCAAATTCTTTGTATATTTCTCAAGATCAGAAAGCAGATAAAAAAAAATCACCGACTGACAGAGGAAGTCGCCTTGATTGCGCACTTGAGTTTTCGTCCACTCTAAAAAGTTCAAGCTATCTTGTTCAAGCTGTTGATCGGCGACTTCGAAAAATTATGTCCCTCAGCTCGTGAAAATGGAGAAAAAATCAAAGCGGAAGAATTAAAACTTGCGACGGACGAAAAACTTTCAACTCTCCAACCTCGTCTGCACCGTTCAACTCGGGTCTTCCTTGATGAGGAGTGAGGGCTGAATCATGTATAGAGGACAGAACCGAAGAATGCCTGCCGACTCTCCTATTAAAGAACCCAATGCCAAAAACTTCATGTCATCAGTACTTTTCCATACTTCAGTGTTGGTGTTCGCAATCGAGGTTGATATTCCAACTGAACAAACAAAATCAAACCAACATTGGAACGGGTGTTTCTCCCGAAAATTGCGTCGTACTTCTTCCTCCTCCACTAACTTGGTCAATAGCGTCCTCGAAATAGTTTGCGCCTTGCTCGCTTTGGCGACCGAGCTCGCTCGCTCGACCTTGAATGGGCTTATTCCAGGGCATGTCTATCAAGCCTTGAGCTTGAGGGCTTCCTTCGTAGCTCCCAGCCCGGTGTCGACCGATGACCTGCACGGCCGGAAACAGATAATCCATTCAGTTTCATCTGGTGTGATGACCGTGAATGGACATATCGAGTAGCGCTTTACATCCTCATATAACTCGATTGGTCGTTCTAGATCGCCTTCAGCCATCCCCCTACCCGATTCCATCTGACCATCCTGGCCGGAAGGATCCCATGCTGTTATGTTTTACACAAAGCTTGATGAGTGATGAGCAATAAAAAATTGGTAGGTAACAAATGTGAAACGCACGAGTTTGGAATCCGAAATCAGCTCGAGAAGTTATCTCTCCCTCGAAACCCGTCTCTTGTCCTACTCCGCCGATGTCATGCTCAGAGCCTACGCGGCCACCAAAGGCAGATCGTTGTGACTTCTCTCGCCTCGAAAGCGCAATCGCGCTTGGTTCATGATTTTTTTCCTCTCTCAAGGGCATTATCTCATCTGCTATCTCGTCATCTGTTCGAATATCCTTGATCAAAAATTGGTGAGCAGGATAAACGTTTGAAGACTGCAAAAAACTGACTGGCTTTCGAATTTGTGTTTGTAAATGTGGGAAGAAGCTTCACGCTAGATTTCCACAAGCCCGCTAACTCGGAGGCTCGTACTACATAGCAAGAGTTACGATATCAGACATGAATCAAAAAAAAAAAAAAAAAAAAAAAAAAAAAAAAAAAAAAAAAAAAAAACATCCGCGTCTTTTTCCAAATTCAAGACTCCACGTGGAACACTCATGTCGCCGGGCTTTGGTGGTTGGAGGAAGCGTATATGAAGGACTCAACTAGAATTAGGAACCCCGAATAGAAGCTCCCTAACTTTTTCCTTCGCCTTTCTCGCCCTCAACTTCTCGTTCACTTCTCTTAATCTTCGGTAGCGCCCAGGACCATAGCCATCTCTCATCTCCCTCAGTTTCTCAGCCGTCAAGCTCGTCGTCGGATCGATGGTGATCATGGTGTTTCGAGCTCTCTTTGAAGCACGGACACCAGGCCCATCCGGTTGTCGTCCGTCTGCTCGTTTTTTGCTAGAGTCTGCCGCTTGATTTATTTCAAATGCATCTTGAGTATTGATTGAATCCAAAGTCCTGTGTGAGAACACATCTGCTGATGGTCTCGATTCCACTTGAGGTTGGTGCTGATTTATTTCTGTTCGTAAGTCGAACCCATTCTTGAAGTTTTAAGTGTAGGGAAATGGAAGAAGCGGAGAAATTGAAGGTGAATTTTTTCAAATCTAATGTCAGAGATCAAATCTTTCCCACTCACTTCGCCACTTGTTTCATCAAATGGGGGTGGAAGTCTTTCAGACCTAGCTCGCCTCACCGGTGGTCTGGCATCTTCATTATCGAGTTGCATATGGTCCTGGTTCTCGAACGGATCAGCAATGGATCCGCGTAACCTGAGATCATAGACCAAAATGTTCCCATAATTCGAGATCGGTTGACATTTATCACAATCGAGCAATTCAAAATTTGATGAGTTTAGTAAGTAGAACCATGCAATTTCTTTTTTCTTTTCAAAATAAGTCAAAACACGTACGAAGCAGCCCCTCGTTGTGAAATATAATCTTGAGCAATCGGGTCTTGGCCGTTTTGACCTGTCGCGCTTCCCTGGGCAATGTCATCGTTCGGGGGCATGATACCAAAATTTGCATCTAGCTCAGGGTTTATTCCAGCCAACAAACCCTGATCGATAGCGCAGCGCAAAATGTCACTTTAATATGTCCATAAGTCCAAGAAACTCATGTCAAGAAGCTGAGAGTAATGGATTAGGAATTTTTTTTACCGCCCCAACGTCGAAGGCGTCAACTTCTAACCCTGCTTCAAAGCTCGATTGGTCTCCCCAAAAATTTTGAGGACCGGGATGCGGATTCATTTGATAATTTTCGAGTTCGACAAGGTCTATGTCCGCCGGTTTAGACATAAATCGATCCGGTGGGCTTCTCTGCCTTTGATCAAGGTTTTCTTGATCCCAATCCTCTTGCATAGGATCTTTGATCACTCGCATGTCATTTACCCGGTTAGGTTAAAAAGGAAATAAGAGAGGAGAATTTTGTAAGACAAACCGCTATTCATGTTGGAAAGACGGACAAGTAGGATAGGTAATCTCGTAAAATTTTCATATGATTAGATTGATTCTCACCTTCTTCTTGGTCATGATTGTGTGGAATGATCCTCGTAATTCCTACGCCCCTACCTAGCTCACGCTCGAGCTCTTGATCATATGATATACCTGTAACAAATGGAGGGAACATGAAAGGATCCATATCTTGGAAGTTGAATAAGTCGTCTATATTTTCTCCTTTTTTCCTGGTGATGGTTATCGCATCAAGCCTAGAGGTAAGCAGATGTGAAGATTTTGTAGAGAGATGTGATTCAGTGAGTTTCTGACTGATCTGATTAGACCATCTTCTTTGACACGAGTGGTTGTGCTGTTTACCTGACGTTTCCGCGCGGTAGATTGATTTCGTTACTCGTAACAGGTCCGGCTTCGGTAGGGTGTTGAGGTGCGGATTCAGCCTGCGAATGGAGCAGGTAGAAGAATAAAGAGTTCTTAACCTGAAAAACGTTGATGATATTGGAGGGCCTAGACTGAATGGATTTTATATCATCAGCTAGCTTACCTCTATGATACTCGAGAACGCCTTTCGAATGGATTGAGAAGCCTGTTGTACGTCGAGATAAAATAATGACCATTGCTAAAGGTGAAGTTTGTCACCCAAAATGAAATCAAGAGACTCATCCGATAATCTGCATTACGCACTTGTCCATAAACGCGCGTAATGCCAAGCAGTAAACCACTTGTTAGTCGTAAAGCAAGTGGCTCGGGAGGGTGAGCAAGGGTGGTACTAGAAACGCGAAAACAAACGTGACAGAAAGATAAAGGAGAATAGATTTTGACAGGAAATCAGGTGTGATGAAAACGCCTCTGGTATCGAAATCATGTATTTTGGAGTTTCCTTACCAGGCTTTGAAAAGGTCGGCATTTATCACTTCTTTCTTGGTCAGTTTAGTGATTGTCGATTTTGAACTACTAGCCACCGTTGCTGCCAACCAATAAATCCCGAGACCAGATTGATGTCTTTTAGAAAGTAAATCGGTTGAGAAAAACATTTTGAAGTAGTTTTCCTATGGTAAGACAGACTACAACACCCATTTCCACTCAACGTCAACCCATCTCTCATTCCTCACTTTCGATTGGGCTATTGACCGATGACGTAGGATGGTCGATTAGAAACTCTCCCACGTTTATAAAGCACCCTGATGTTCTTACTCATCACTTTTCCCCACTATCCACTCTTCATACTTCCTCCTTCCTGGCTTACCTCTAACCGAATGTCACCTTCACAAACACAACTCTCGGCAGATCACCCATTAACTCGGAAGGATACTCAGAAGAGATACAGCATACTAGCACAGAACTTCTAAGCTTTCCAAAGCCTTATCCAAGAGCTCTGGACTGCGCTTCTTCACAGAAGAAAACGAGTCAAGTTGGCCCATGCTTCATCGCTCTTTCCACTTGAAGGATCAATTTTGCCAAAGCGCACCCGACTGCTCCTGGTCTACCAGGAAACAAAAAACTTGAACAGAGTGGGATTCGAACCCACGCCCGAAGACCGCCGGCTACCCTGCATACGCAATGGAACCTTAAGACGGCGCCTTAGACCACTCGGCCATCTGTCCGACACCTGGGATGGCTGCATCCAAAAAACCTCGCCCACACATGTCGCACACATCACATGTACATGTTGCATACAAATCAGCTGCTATGTCACAAACAGTGACCTGTTTCACACATACATGTCAGACAAATATGTTCAATTATGTACCCAACCACTCAGAATTTCAAAGCTCCATGTAGTCAACATACTCATGAAGTCTGCTCTCTATGAATATCATCAATGAATGCATGTCTGTCACTATTCCTTCACATTCCCATTCCATTCCTCCAACCTTAATTCTTCTGCATAGAATTTTCATCCTTATCTCTTTTGTTCCAGGCTCTCAAGTAAGTATATTCTTACCTGCACTGCCAACATATTTTCATCGCATGGAAGCTTGCTATGTAACATAGCATGTCTTCATGCGATACTATGGACCATTTTTCAAGGTCCCTACCTTGGAAAATAGACCTATTGCATCGCATCTTGGCCTGCTATGTGACATAGCATGCCTCTATGCGATGCAATTTTCTCGGCAGTGCTGCTTCTTATCAGGAATCACTATTTAGTTTAACTCTGTTTGATCTCAAATATTGATTTGATTAGTTTTGTGTGTATTGTCATGTCTTTTTTTTTTCTAGGGCTTTCAGGCAAGTTTTTCCCTCAATCCTTCTCATTTCCATGTGTTTTCTTTGAGTTCCTTTCACTTGCCTCGATTGTGATTACTAATCTAGATAAATGTGTTTGATAATGTCATCTGTTTTACTCTAGGGCTACCAGATACATCTATTGCTCCCTCATCTTTCTTTTATTTGGTTTGATTTCTCTGATCTCAATGACTAATCCACTCAAGTATCTTTTGTTAATTTTATCTCCTTTGTACCACATTTTGAAGGCAAGTCTCTACCACATCATCAATTGATGATTTTCTTGGCCAAGTAACAACCCAGACTAAGTCATCCCTCATTACAACCCAAGGACTTCATTGAGGCTCATAATAAATGAGGCTGTAGTGTGATTAATCTGCTCAGATACAACAAATAATTGAACCATATGGATATTTACAATAAGGTATGTCATTTGCCTGAACCTAACTGACCCCCAAGTACAAACCCAATTTAATTCCACCTGGTGATAAAATTACTGCGGTTTCAAATGCATCTCCCACTTGATAAATATAACCTTCACCTTGATTTACTTTTCAAGGAGTTTTGTCTTTTTTTTTCTCATTTGCACCAGATGCCATTGCTATGCAACACTTCTCTCTCAAGCCATCTTCAATTTCTCATCTTGCCAATGTGTTGCAAAGGGAGATATAAACTTTTTTTGTCTTTTAGATTTAGTTACTTTCTGTAGTATAAATACAATACACAACAATTCACTCACTTGTCTCAGGTGTGAGTTCTTTCCATTTCTGTGTCATTGGATTTCAAAAATATGGTTTTCTACATGCTCATCTCCTTTTCAAAATGTGAGTCAAACAAACTTCCCAATCTTCTGGAAAGTTAGCCTGTATTGAGCCTTCCAAGACCTCAGGCACAGAACCAAAGAGAGTTTCTTGCCCTTAGTCTGACCAACCTTGGAGTAGTCAGCATCAATGACAGAAAAATCAAGGAAACCAGAAAGGGCAAGGTGTAGTACTGCACCTTTGATGTTGCCAGGGTACTTTCAATGCCAATGCTGATATTGTGACAGCAGGCCATATGCATTCCTACACATTGCCTGAGTGGAGGGACACACAGCATCACCCTAACCCACTGCTACAATAACAGAGTGGCATTGCAGCAGGGAATTGGCCCCCAAGGTTTTGATCAGGGCCATCACCCTTGGATCAATTCCTCTAGTGCTGGTCTTCTTCAAATCTGCATCTTTCTTTTTCAAAAATGTATGCAACATGGTTGTGTGTGAGATGTCAGTGTGTGTGACATCTGTACATGTTCAGTAGTATTTTGCATACAACAGGGTGATGCACACACTGTGTGCAACCCCATTTTTCATGCAGTGGGACAGGCTCTGGTGAGCCCAGAATGCCAGTTATGTTAGGGCACTGAAAAGATGAAAAAATTGTGGAAACCTTATATTACAATTCTCGAAACGCTTGCAGTTTTCAAAAAAGATTCTCCAAGTTCACCCCCCATCAACCTATGGGTTTAGGGAGGAATGGCAGCCCAAGCCTCCTGGATCTTCTGCTCACCATTCAGTCAGATTAAATAGAGTATATGCAGCCATGGATCTTGCATGGAACCAGTATGAGACATTTCCCCACCTGCCAGAATTCCTCGTGTCCCTTAACCTTCTGTGTGGTTTGATTGTGCTACCATCCCCTCTCTCCGTCCTCTGTCCCTTCTGGCCATTCCCAACCTGCTTCCAGCTCTTCTCTTTCCTTTCAAACAGGC